GTTATTTTTAAAAATAAATTATTGGACAATCAATGCTGACACTGAATCAGGAATGCAATGATCCGGATTGCAGTATTCATTACTGAAACTGCAGGTGATCTGAAACCAAAACTGAAATTGCTGGAGAAACTCAGCAGCTCTAGCAGCCTGTGTGGAGAGAGGGAGAAACAGAATTAATGTTATGGTTTATAAACACAGAAGTCACAAGCATTAGTGTGACAAGCTTCACTGAACTGCTTCCAAAATCCTTCTGTAAGTATGGGAAGCAGGACAGTATAGTGCTGCAAATGCAGAAACACCAATCCCCTGAATAACTGAAGCATAACCTCCTGATTCCTGCATTCAATTCCCCTCACAATAAAGCAGAACATCCTACGAGTTTTCCTGATTGCTTTCTATAGCTGCACACCAACCTTCCATCCTTATGGAAGTGACTGCCTGTCATAGGCTGATTTTCCCACTGGCAGTCTCTCAGAAAGCTGACTGCATTTGTTGATTGTGAGAGCGAGAAGGGAACTGTTGCAATAGAGGGAACACCTGCGTCGCTGTTTTGGCCACTGAAACCAGGGCAAGTGATTGCACCAGTTTGAGCAGAGGCCGCTGTGGGACAAGATCTTTCCATTCTGAAAAGGTCATGCTCAGTGGAGCTCAGAGGATGAGAGGGGGTGTGAGGAAGTGAAATTGTGTGTTGTAACGAAAGAGTAACTGAAAATGCCAACTGATGGATGCTCACGGACAGGGTAAATTACGGCCTGGAGGTTTGGCTGCTCATCGCGTCTGATGTATGACTGGAAGGTGATGTAGGAACACAGGTCCACTCCAGTTCCTTGTTCAATGGGTTAGATTGAAACACCCTCAATGCTCTGGGTATTGGCAACTAAGTTCAACAGCACCGATAACACTTCTGCTGAGAATAGAAAGGCAACTTAGTATCTCAACGGAGAGAAATGTCAGAGTGCTTCAGTACAGAGGGATCTGGGTGTCCTTATGTATGAATCTCAGAAAGCTAGTGAAATAACTCCATGAATACTGGTATCCCATCTCCAAGTCACTCTTTATTTACACATGCATGGTACATGATACTGATTAAGCTAGCTCAGGGCCAGCTCCTACAGTGAACAGAACCCCTGAGACTCCCTTTTATATCTGCCAGCCAGGGCCCCCTGATTGGACCAGGTTCACAGTCCCAATCAGGGAAGTCGTATTCTATGAGATCCATTCTATGGCTTCATTCCAGTCATTACAACCCTCTAAATCCTGAGATGTAGGCCCGTACTTTTTCCTGTAGCTTCTCCTGGGGCATTTCCACATCAGGTCCAGTTTCTCCGACTCAGCCTCGGATATGGGCGACATGTACCAGATGGAAGCCTGCCGCTTGCACCTGGATTGTCTCAAAAGAAATTCATTCTTTGTCAGGGGGTAATGGCATTGAGGCTGCAACATCTGCCATGTACATCTCATCCTCGGAGATTTCCTCAACACTATGCAGAAGAGGAGAACCCACGGGTTCTGACAGACTTACCCGATGTTCTGAGATGTCAGGTGTGTTTTGTAAGATCCTATAAAGGTCATATGATTGTGACACACACAGTTTGCTTTTACTGATGCTGACTGGGAGATAGATGTTTGTTGCAGGACACTGGGGAGGTGTCCCTCTGCTCCTCTTCCAAATACTGCCATGGGATCTTCCACATCCACCTGACCAGCATTCACTCAGTACTTACTGCCCGACAGTGCAGCATTTCCTCATTACCGACTCTCCGACAGTGAAGCAGTCTTACAGTACTCACGAACAAAAACAAAGTTGCTGGAAAAGCTCAGCAGGTCGGGCAGCATCTGTGGAGGAGAAAACAGTGTTAACGTTTTGGGTCCGGTGACCCTTCCTCAGAACTGATGGTGGCTGGGAAAACGTCAGTTTATATGCAGAAAATAGGGAGGTGGGTGGGGTAGGGAGTAAATGATAAGATAGAGCCCAAAGAGAGAGGAAGACAGTTGGACAGACAAAGGAGTTGCTAACGATCAGGCTGGGAGGGTGAGTAGTTGTTAATGGGGACTGTTAGTGACTAACAACAGGGGATGTGTAGTGGCAGGCTATGTGGTAACAAGGCCTGGTGTGTGGGGTGGGGAGCTGGGACATGGGAGAGTTTAGGCCCTAAAATTATTGAACTCAATATTGAGTCCGGAGGGCTGTAGGGTCCCCAAGCGGAAAATGAAGTGTTGTTCCTCCAGCTTGCGTTGGGCTTCACTGGAACACTGTAGCAAGCCGGAGACAGAGATGTTGGCCAGAGAACAGGGTGGTGCATTGAAGTGGCAGACAACAGGTAGTTCAGGGTCTTTTTTGCGAGCAGAATGTAGATGTTCTGCGAAGCGGTCGCCAAGTCTACGCTTCGTTTCCCCAGTGTAGAGGAGACCACATTGTGAGCAGCGAATGCAGTAGACTAGATTCTTGGAAGTGCAGGTGAAGTGTTGCTTCACCTGGAAGGTATTTTTGGGGAGGGATAGTGGGGAGGGAGGAGGTAAATGGGCAGGTGTTGCACCTTCGCCGGTTACAGGGGAAGGTGCCGTAGGGCTGTGGGGAGGTGTTGGGGGTGAAGGAAGTGTGGACCAGGGTGTCCTGGACGGAACAGTCCCTGCGGAAGGCGGACAAGGGAGGGGACAGGAATATGCGTCTGGTCTTACAGTACTGTTCCTCTGACAGTGTGGCACTCCCTCAGGACTGA